AATATATAAATATTTATTATTATATGTATAATGATCCTATAGATATATTTATATATATATATTTATTCTTGCACCACTAAAACAAAGCTAAATTTTGTAATATTTACAATATTATTTAAAAAGAAATATTAATTACTATTACAAATATTAAATTTACATAAACAAGTATATGATAGATTTCTACATATAACCATCTCAAAACTATGTGTTGTGGGCATCAAATTGTTCTAGGAAATAAGTGATTGGCATCCATACAAAATTGAATTTCATTGTAAGTTTCAGAGCATGACAACAACATAAATCTCGAAAGAAAATTTTAAAAATGTGTGATACAATTCTTATAATGTGTAATGACACTTCCCCGTTGTATACGGGTATATATTTATTGTGTAAAAAAGTATATTTTTGACTGACAAGGAATATAAAAAGAAATTAGAAACTGAAGTTTGCATGACATGAATACATAGAAACATTTACCTTGCTAAGAATTTCCTTGATGCTACAAATCAGTGCTTTTCCGAAGTAAACGTTATGCACAACATTTTATTTTGACTGATTGTCATCATTTGGGATGAAACATGAAATTCAGTTAATCCCTAAATATCTTTTCTGAGGGGTTTCATTTACATGATTTAAAGATGCACGTATATAAAAGCCCTGTTTGTCTGTTTCAATTCTGATTAAGAGATTGATGGTGAGTGGCTGCAGTAGAAAAATTTACCTTAAAAATGCAGAGTTTCACCTCCTCTGCTCCATTTGCTTCCTGAGGCTGTTGACACAAAGCCCCTACACCCAAACTGATGTCTCATCACCTCTCCAGTTGGGACAATCCCTCAACGTCCCTTTGGGGAATTTTCCTCACTCAGGAACATGATTTGCTTGACTGCCACTTTTCTCCCTCGCAAGGAGCGTTTTCTCCGTTTTTAGCTCCAGCTCCTGACAATCTCATTTCTCTTGTACAAATTATTCTGCTCATTCTGGGCTGTTTCATCATAATCAAAGAGGAGCAGGGGAATTTACTTTGTGCATGCAGCTGGAAGTCATAACTTTTGATTGCAGCATGGAGAGACACCTGAATGCTTGTGGCTCTTCCCTAAGAGGAATCTCAAGGATGTCACATGGTTTAGTATTTCAGATATGTTTTATAGGAAATTTGCTTTTTATGTTTTCTGAATTTAATCAAATAATTCAATCATCTACCGTTATCATTGTCATGAAAAAAAACCTCTTCAGATTAATTTTGAGTTAGGAAAAGTGTAAAGGATTTTTGTTTTTTCTTCTTGATGAGCTTGAGATTTTATGGTGACTTGAGGTAGAGATTATTTTTTAATGTCAAAACAATTTTTGTTGTGTGACTTAAATTATAAAGTGGCTTTAAATAGATAAGGTCCTCACCCTTGCACAGAATATAATTTTGAATTACATTTTAAATTACATTATGAAGAACTTTTGGCTCATATCTAAATTTTACTGTGTGTAAATAGTATTGCATTTTTCTGTTGAAGTGCTACAGGTTGTCCTTGATATACATGTATACATATGTATTATATATACACACATATATATTATACCAATATAAATATAGATATAAATATAGATATAAATATAGATATAAATATAAATATAAATATAAATATAAATATAAATATATGCTTATATTTATATATTAAATGAATATAAAATGGAAAAATAAACATAAACATACATATAAAATTCTGCACATTGTTCTCTGTTGCAGATTATCCAGGAAGTTTGGGGTCTGGGGAGGAGAGATCCAAAAGAAATACTTATATATCTTTCAGTCAATAAAGGCAAAGACAGTGAAAATAGGAAAGGAATTTGAAAGTAACAGGATGCTTTAATTGATAACTGACATGTAGGTTATTGGATTTCTAAATAAAAAATATGCATACAAGCATATAAATATATATATTTGGATTAGTGGTTAATGTTTCTTTGTCTAGTCATTGTTTAGTCTTTTCCATATACAAATTCACTGGTGTGTAAGTGGAACTCATCAGAATTAATCCAGGGTATTATAAATATTTTTGAAATACATTTGGTGCAATCTATCACAATTATATTAACTTTTTTGGTTTTTTTTGAAAGAACAGATGTTCCTTTATGAACGAGTAGGGAGCGAGATGTTCTTCAGAATGAACAATTTTAACCCTCTCACTGCATGTTCTGACTTGCACTGTCCAGGCCACACAAGGAGCTTGCTGTGAGTTAGGCCACCCCAGTGAGACCTGGAGATGAGCACAGAATGGAGGAATTTTCTACTGTAAGGAGCTGGTTCCTGGTGGAGGTGAGGTTTCTTCAGCATATCCTGGTTCGTGGGTCTGAACAAAATTTCCCATTGTGGCAAAAAAATGGAATAAAGATGCTGGCAAGGGCTTTGGCAATGCTGGGGGAGCCTGGTGATGCTCTCTGGGATGGGGACCCTCCTTGTTGATTTCATAACCCTTGTCCCAGGCAAATGAAAGCAACAAGTTCATTATTCATTAAAAGAGACTTGGGATCTGTTTTACACGTGGTATAATTACAAGTACATGAAAGATAATTAGACTTCAAAGTGATGCCAGAGTTAGGAAGGGCATGAGATATAGAGGCCTACAGTGCGTGCAAGCCAGTGTTAAAAATGAGATTCACTCAATAAATTATAAAAAGTTTAATATAAACAAAAAGACAATTAGGATACAAAGGAAATAAAGCAAAGGATTAAAACAGCCGGATGCCCTGGCGGGTTGCCAGGAACACACCTGGTATCTTGGGAACACTCTTTTTATCCCCCTCCTGCTGTGAGGGTTTAATGCATATTCAAAGCATGTCCCCTCCCTGGTTCTGCCTTCTTAGAACATGCTCTGTATGGGGTTCTTTTTCTGCTGGTCAGCATTATTTCTGCTGGTCATCATTATTCTTGCTGACCAACATTATTTTGAGTCTGGTTTCCTTTCTTCTGCAAATGGTCAGTGTTGATAACAGTCTGAGCCCCTCATCCTTCCTCTGAGGGCAGATGGGCTTCATATCTTCTCCTGATAGCAGCTTGGGCCCCACTGTCTTTGCCCTCTGGGGTTTCCTTGCTTGTACTTAGGAGATTCCTTTAAGCTTAAAACTTGTTAGCAAGAAAAAAAGTACATACATAGCCAAAAAGTATTTAACATATAATATTCGTCTTAATACTTGCGAAAGCCAATATCACAATACAGATTTATAACACCACGATATACCAATATCAACCTACATCCATCTCATCTCTGCCACCATCTCTCTATTTACGATCTGTAAACCCTGGTACCGGGGGAGCCTGTGTGAGGGAACGGGCAGAGGTGAGGGAGGGGATCCTGCCCCTCTGCCCCGGCCAGCTGAGGCTCCTGTGCAGCGCTGCCTCCAGCCCCGGGCTCCTCAGGCCAGCAGAGCCCAGGAGCTGCCGCCCAGGGCCCAGGGGAGGCCGCACACAGCATTTGGGCTCTGCAGCAGCTCCAGAGGCTGCGGGAGCCGGGCCCGGCCAGGCCGGAGAAGGGAAGGCCCGGAGGGGATCCCGTGGATCCACACAAACATCTCCGAGGGCTGCCAGAGGATGGGGCCGGGCTCTGCCGGGCGCTGCCGAGAATAAAATAAAGGGCAGCGAGCGGCAGCCCGGCAGGAGGAAGAACTTGTGTCCATGGAGGGGCAGAGGCCTGGAACAGCTGCCCAGGGAGGGCCTGGAGTGTCCCTGTGTGGAGCCATGGCAGCCCCAGCTGGGCACGGCCTGGGCTGAGGGAGCTCCACAGGAACCTTCCAAAACCAAACTATTCTGGGATTCCGGGATTCTTAAAGTCATACAGAGTGAATGCCGTGGTCCAAAAGGGAAATTTTTAAAGTATTTTGTCATCAACCCTCATGGAGGTTCAACTATATCAATCCGCAGGAAAGGACTAAGTATGAATGAAATGTGTATTTGATTATTTATTAAACATATTTTATAGAGCTGGCATTCAAAATGCTTTTTAGTGGCATCCGGACTTCATTCACTCTAGCTTTTGATGCTAAGCAATTACTGAAGAATTAGTTTTGAGTTAAATATCTGAATAAAACACAGAAATTTTTATGTGATTTTGTGCACATATGCAGACATTTAAACATCTTTAGTGAAACTCACATGTAATATTTAAGCCTGTTTATGGAATATGATGAGCATCTTGAACATCTGTCTTGGCATTTCTCTGAAGTGGATCAAAATAAGCAGGGTCTTAGAAAAAAAAATAAAAAAATCCTATTTGTAGGTGTCAGATTTCTCATCTGAATTCCCAAGAGATCAGTGATATTTACATGTAGGTGTTTGCCCAACTGGTTCTCAGACTTGGATGAACAAGGGTCGCATTCCACATTTTTGTCTTGGACCGTATGGTTTGCACATTGTTGGGCAGTTACTTTGGAAAGCTGCAGTAAATCCAGCTTTTGGGGGGAAAATAGGATTTTTATGGAACTGCTCCAAAGCTGAGGTGCGTCAGAGGCACTCTGAGTCTAGGAGAGAACATTCCCATGTGATCCAGGCATGCCTTGGCCAGGCTGGGATGGGCAGCAGCTGAGCAGGAGATGATCAGAGGTGGAGGACCATCCTCTGCTCCAGAAATCCAGGACAGGTTTAATTTCCAGAAAAAAAAAAAAGGCACATTGGGAAGAAACTTCTTGAAATGTCTTGGATGTTTCTGGTTCTTGGATTAGGAGTAGGAAATCCAGCTAAATAGGGAAACACACACACACACACACACACAAGCTGTGATGTAGTTTGGCGATTTAACCAAATTAATGTAAATCCCAGCTGATTCACTATTAACATGTATTTCTAAAGTTTATATAATTATCCTTTTTTTTTGCGTTTAATGGGATTTTCATGGCTGTTTCAGTCAGCTGTTGAAATTCAGTTTGTTGGTTGCTGCTATGCAAGTTGGTTGCTGTTGTCTCTTTACACTTTCTAAATCACTTAGAGAGAAGGTAGATGAACACTGAATTTCAGGTACTGAAATTGTACTAGGATCCATAATAGAAACACATAAATACACACACTCTGCCTTTCATCCCCTGGTGGGAGGGAATTTTTGTTTACTTGTTTACCTGTTACAGATGGGACAGGAATTGCCATGAGCAACTTGCAGCCTTTCATTGCTGAATCTCTTCTGAATTGCAGAGGCCACATTTACAGAAGCAAGAAATGATTGAGTAACTAATTAACCAGATGACATAAAATAGAAGAGTAGAAGCCCCCATTCAGTTGCAGATTTCTTTCCAGGTACCAATTAATTTTGTTTCAGAAGCTTTCAAAATCCAACATCTGAGAATTTCTACTAGGAGGAGTCCCGTATTGTATTTATTTAGTAAAAGTGGCTAATGGGAATTTACCTGACTCATATGTGTGGGTATTGGTTTCATTTTTTAAAAAAATATGAATGAAGTTGTCCAAAATAAAAAAGCCTTAGGAGAAAATAAAGGATGAAAGGGTTCCACTGTCCATAGATCTTCCTCTGGCAACAGTAAGAAACTGTGTCTTCTCTAAGCTAAATATTTTCAATATACAAGAAATGAGGAGACTCACTGTGCAGCAGTGCCATTGTGTTTGCTATTTTATTAGTATTGTTTTTGTGCTAAAGTAGTGCAATTATGTTACCAGCAGATTGGTGATTTTTTTTTTTTTGCTCAGTTTAGCCAGAGAAAGCAGACTCATAAGTAAATTTGGGTTTGGGTGGCAGACATTTCTGTACAAGAACTGAACCCAGACATTTCCTAACTGTCTGTGAAATACAACCCCTTCCTGTTAACCCTATGAATGCAAATTTGACCATTTTCAATTGGATATATTAACACAGCAAGGACAACTCAGTCTGTTTTTTTGAAACAAACTTTCCTTTTACTTTTTCATTGCCAATTAGTATTCACAAGGAGAGACTTTGATGGAAATAATTTTTCTTTTCATTATCACAGATTTTTGTTTGGGTTTTTTTGTGGGTTTTTGTTTTTGTTTGTTTTTTTTTATATATATATTTGTTTTGGTTTTGGTTCCTCTGTATTTCATTCCCAGCTAAAGACAATGGTAAAAAACTATAAATATGAGGAAAAATCCTTAAAATAAGACTAGATTTGACTCAGGAGCAGTAAATCAGCAATACCATAGGTACTTTTTGATGGATCCAGAGTACTGTCCCACAAAGTTTCAGGATAAAGATAATTAGCTATTAATTTTCCACAGCAAACTATGCTATTACAAACACACTGCCCAGGGAAAGCGAATTCTAATTGCTTCAGCACATTTCCAAGTGAAATAATTATTCCATCCAGAGAGCGTGTTTGTCTAGCAATTGTCACTTATTAATTATAGAAATGGAACATGTTGCATCTGGGGGAATTACAAAGGGATGATGTAATCTGATCAAGGGATGCTGTCTGGGAAACAAACAACAGTGCAAAAAGCTCCAAGGCTGTGCAAAAATAGGCAGATAAATGGTGTTTCTGGGCATCTTGTGCACATGATCATTGCACTGTCCAGTGGTTCCTGAAAGCCCACACAGAATACACATCATTCTTTAAATGCCTTTCTAATGCACTTGTTGGGATAATGGCATTTTTATGTTGCTATTCAACAAAAAAGCAGAGGCAAACCACTTCTCTCACGTACACAGAAATTGGCACACATGCTGTTGGATGCAGCTATAGGTTTCCTTCTGCTGCTACTTCACTTCTGAGGCAGGACTAGGCTGATTTCTGCTTGAGATGCCATCTCTGGAAGAAATCAGATTAGAAATGTCAGGGAGCCAATGACTGGAACTGATCATCAGCATTGTCTTTTTCAGAGCTGAGTTGTTTATCAAACACACCTGTCTGCTTCCCTTTTTCTTGGTCTCTTATTGTTCTTATTGCTTTTGAGATATTTCTAAGCAAGTCTTGAAAACAAGAAAAACTGCAAAAAGAAAAATAAAGGCACAGAGCTGCACCCATTTTTTTTTTTTATTTCCAAGTGCTGAAGAAACTCTGCTAAAGTATTATCTGTGTTTCCTACCATACTCTTGCTGGAAATTTCACCAATTCATTTCATAAGGATGCAGAATTTTACAGTACATTTCATACGTAATATTGTTCTTCTTGCTCTTCCCCATCCCCACCACCTGCTGTGTAATCTGGAAATTAGGAGAGCAAAATTCAGCACTGATTTTTAATGACTCGTCCTAAGTCATCCAGAATAAATGTCTTGCAATAAAATGTAATAAAATTATTAAAATGGCCTAATCTCTTCAGACACATAATTTCACCTGTGTAATTTTTTCTCCTCGGTTAATTTTTGGGGCACTAAGATTGTAGCAGTAAAGGCTCTGACGCATAGAACAATTATTTGTTTTTCCCAAATTGACATTTCCTTTTTTTATTTTCTATTATGATTACGCAAAGTTATTTACAGAGAAAAAGAATTAAGATTGAAAGAGTGCACTCTGTGATAGGGTTTAAAGCAGAGAAAAGAGGAAGGAAGACTTCTCTCAGTGTGTTCTGGGGAATATGGTGAAATTTACTTAATGTTCCTACAAAGGAAGTGCAAAAACACGATCCTATGACTGATACCTATTTTGCTCTTCTGTTTTCTGTTTTCCCCCTCACAGTTTTTTGTGGCTTTCCGTTTCAAACTTCAGCATGGCACACAGGACAAGATTCAATGGTCTCAATTTGCATTTTCTCAGGAGCAGTCTAGATTTGATATTAGGAAAAAGTTCTTCCCTAAAGGGGTGGTCAGGCAATGGAATTGGCTGCCCAGGGAAGGGAGGGAATCAACACCCCCAGAACTGCTCAAAACGCAATGTTCTTGGCAGTCTGGGGGTATGGTTTAAGGTGAACACAGTGGTGGGGAGGTCAGTGGTGGCAAGCAGTGATTTTGGAGGTCCTTTCCAACCTTAACAATGTTATGGTTCTGTGATTCTTGTATCACACAACCGTTACAAGGTCTCATGTTTATTTTATGTATTATTTATCAAAGTGACAGGATAGAAAAGCATGGGTTTGTTTTTTTTTTTTCTGTGTAATTTCATCATTTTCTGTCACTTAACCTGGGCTTTACAGACAGGGCTGAATTATTCCACATCTGTCTTGGAAGACAAGGGGTTTGCTCAGAAGTAACCCGTGGCATTATTTGAAGATGAGGAGAGTGCACAGGCCAGGCAGGGTTTTGAATTGCAAGTTCAGTTCCCTGTGATGGACTTGACTGCACAACAAAATCGTCAATAAATTTAAGGTGAGCCTTTAAATCACAGGATGTGTGGTGACTTCAAATAAACCCTGGTATTCCACATTCCTAACAGACATAAAATCCTCCAAAGAAGCCCTTGCATCTCAAAGGTAGTAGATAGATTATGGTAAATTATGCCTCTGAAATGAGGAAACCATGTTAAACTTGTATGATTTTTTAGGCCATTTCCACTGTTGTGGGATGGTTTTAAATTCTCCCCCTTTCTAAACCTGATTAAAAACCTGATTTTTAGTACAGATGCATAGCTGCTATGTTCTAGCTTTTCTTCTAAGTTGTACTTCTGAAGTAATAAGGAGGGCTCTGGAGGATCTAAAGACTGAGAGTTGATAATCACATGTGAGAGAGTAGCAATGAGACATTAAAATATCTCTCTATATGCTGATACTCTATTATTTTGTACATTGTTCATATTAGTCTATATTCTTTCAATAAACTTCACTTTTATACCCAGCTGCAGTGAGCAGTGAGGTAGCAATACACTACCACTACAATTCCACTTAAAATGTGCACAATTCACTTGCCTTTTAAACTTGAATACAGTCAGAACATAATTTACTTATTTTAATTTTAATTAATTTATTTAATTGAATTTAATATATTATTTATATTATCTAATGATATTACTATAATATTTAATATTATTTATTTAATTCTAATTTACTGTTTCATGTAAAAATGGCAGAGTGGAATCTTCAAATTACTCCCAGAAAAAGAAAAAGAGAAAAAGAATGACAAGGGGAGAGGAAAGAAAACAGGGGAACGTATTCTAAAATAACTTTTCTCTTGATGCCTCACTTTACAAACATTGCCTAAAGATTGCTGCTCTGTGTTGTCCAAAAATTATTTATTGTGTTTACTTTTCCCTGTGATTTTTTTTTTTCCAAGAATTTTGAAGCATGCTGCCAGTTCTCTACCACAGCTTTAAGGAATGGCTCACGTAAGACCTTACTCCTGTAGGATAGGCTTGCAGGAGTCAAACTTTTATTTAGGGTATTCATAGAGAAAGGGAAACAAACTCTCTAGTCTGAGAAGGAAAGCTAAGGAGCTGAGGTTGCATTTGGAAAACATTATTGTGGAAAAAAATATCTGCTTCTTAAAGAGGAAATAAAGTAGGGATGGAAGAAGGTCATTCCACAATATGGCTGATGCTCATAAACCGGTTCTGAACCCTTTTTTTACCCCATACTAATTCACTGCATAAGCATGACAGCTTCAATTTAAAGCTCTTAACTTTCTGTTGCCTTTCTAAGGCAGCTAAGACTATTTACAGAAACTGGACAACTCACTTTGTCTTCCTGTCTTGTAGTTCTCCTGGAGAGAGTTTTGCTGTTCCCAAACCCAGTGCATCCTTTGGAAACCCGACTTTGATCTCTCAGAGATTTATGTTCTCAAACTGGATGTTATTGTATGGGGTAAAATATCCTTGCTGTGATAGTATAATTAACTAGACTGTGAAGGAAAAGCTATGATGACTGTCCAGAAAAACCCATATTTTCTGTAGTGTATGGAAATTCGTATTGTAGAAGTCAGATGGGTTTCCTTTTGCTGAATAAAATCTCATCCCAGGCCATTGGTAGGGGGAGTTGCCTCCAAAGTCATGCCTGGCGCTGGGGTTGAGCTCGCACAACTCCTATTTTTTCTCAGGAACAGTAATACTTCTCTTCAGAAAGAACAGTTTTTACTGAGGGAGAAATAGGAAATATTAATTACTACTTTTTTCTAAATGCATAATCCTTTTTGGAAAGGAAGTGGCAGAGTTTTTCATTACTGTGCTACCTGTCGGAATTTCTGCTTTAAATTCCTCAGTTCTTCCACAAGCCAAGATTTGAATTTTTGAAAGGAGGAGGAATTGAAGAGAAGATCAAGATTTGAAAGGACCACAAGCAACAAATACTCTTTTTGCAGCATTACTGTCTTATTTTCCTTCTGTGAGTCAATGCAAACGTATAGGTGTGTCTGGTGTGCTGTGTGGATTTATTAGTCACTGTAACTTAATGATAACTCTGTTTCTTACTCTGTATCAGTTCAGCTCTGATTCATGGCTGCAGTTTCTTCGCCATAAACTGGATACATTTTTTTTACTCCTTTTCCTCGTCACTATACAGCAAATTTAAGAGGAGTTTGTTCTTGTTAATGAGCCTGAAGACTTATGTCTATATAATATATCTCCTTGTACTGTTCTTGAGAGCAACATGTTTTCCTAAAGGGCCCAAATAATATAGATTTGAAAAATCTATTTTTGCCCTTAATATGGTAATCTTTAAATTAATCTTCCTGATAGAGACTTTACAGACTGAAATATTCTATGGCATCTTTAATTATGCTATGAGCTGTCAAAAGTTATTAACATTTTTGTTACCTTGGTGTCAGTTATTCATTATATGTTTAATATTCCTCACTGCTTGCCATAATAATGTGGTATTAAAAATGAATTTATTTTATTTGCTATTAGTTGAGGATGATTTTGATTGTATCAGTGCAGTGTTTCCCTCCTTTCTAGTCTGATTCATATGAGATTACATAATTATCTACGAAAAGTCTATTCAAGTTAGAAAAGCAGTCTAAATTCTGTTTAACAGCTTCAACTGCAGGAAAAACTCATTATATATATGGGCATTGTCATGTATTGTAAGAGAAAACACAGCTATTGAGAAATGTGCCACAGTGTTCTATTTTTAGAATAAAATAGCTTCCAGAGATCTTTATCTGTCACCATCCTGTTTGCTGTTATTAAAAAGAAAGTTTTTTTTCTGAGAAGTTCTCTGGATGAGAATATTGAACAACTGACTCAGAAAGTTTATAGAAGTGAATTTGTAGTCTCCACTATTTGCACAGCAAACCTGAGTTTGAGATAACTGCTGTCAGTGATGGAAGTCAAATACTCTCTGCAATTCATGCTGCAAACCCAAACATTTACATCTGGAGAGTTCATGGGAAAGGTCAGGTGAACAATAAGGAAAAATGAACTTTTGATTGTTACTATCTAGAGCTATTGCAAAGATTGAAATAAGAATATCTGCAAATCCTGAATTTCTGTTTTTATGGCCACCAGGCTGCTGATTTCTGGTGTCCTTTGTGTCCAAGTGTGTTTCTATCTTCATTGCAATAACAAGCTCTTATGTCTCTTCTTTTTTTTTTTTTTTTTTTAAATTTAAATCTGAAAATTCAGCCTTAGAAGAATTTATCTTGGAGGATCCTGCCATTTTGGGAATTTAATTACTCATATGTAGAATTATAAATCCCTCAGCCTCTCTGACTTCACACTCAGAGTGTGTCTGCACATACAATATCTTAGGCTTTAATTGAGATAACTTGCATAATGAACCAGGAATCAAATTTACTCTATCCAGGCTACTCAAACTTAGTGAAAGAAAAAATTAACAGAGAGAGCATTGATTTGGCAAGCAAATTTTTTTTTCAGAAACAATAGGAAAATAATTCATTTTCCCAAATATTTAGCTCCACTGCCCATTATTTATCTTTGTAAATATAACATTTTCTTCTGGACTGTACACTTTCTGTAGTTATTTGTCAATTGTGTTGTTAAAAAAGTAATGAAGAGGCCTAAATGTAACTATTAAGGCCACATTTGTAAAGTATATATTCCAAAATACAGTGATTTTCTGTTGCCTTTGGCTATCCCACATAAGCAAGGATTTTTCCTCTGTTAAAGCTACATCAGAGAATATGAAAAGAATAAAAGACTCAAGAAAAAAACTATTTGCAGTGAAAGTAAAAAACTATAAAATCATATATAACTATATATAACTATATAACCACTTAAATGGTTTTGAAAGCCTCTTCTTTCTCATAAAAGTGAGATTTGTATAAATAAAACCACATTTATTCTTTCCAGGCTGTAGTTTACCTGAATTTGCTCTATTTTCTATTTGATGTTCTCTGCTGGTATTCAATTCATGAAGAAATGGTTCCTCCACATGCCTTTAATAACTGAAACAGTTCAGTTGCTTGATTGTATGTGGGGGTTTTGTTTTGGATTCTTTTGCCTGTTTTTTAGTTTGGTTGTTTTTGGTTTTTTTTGTAATAAAAGGTGGTGAAAGAAAAAAATTTCAGCCATCCTTTAAAAAAAGCTGACTTGTTTCTCTGTGAAGGAATTCAGAGGGGCAGGTAAGTTTTCTCTGGAATTATCTACAAACCTTAAGTAAAAGACAAATTCATAGCCATCAGAGCTTGATGGAATACTTGCAACTAATATTTTTCCAAAAATCATTTATGCCACATGACTTTAAACACTCTTATTCTATATTATAGCTTGAGATTTAAAAAAAAACAAACACCCTTTACTATGAAAATTTCAAGGAAACTTTGGTGTGCACAACTTCTGTCTCAATTTCTGTTTACAAAGACATCCACAGTGCTTTGAAAAACCCCCATGAACTTGCCTTTTGAGGGATGTAAATATCTCTAAAGGAATTAATTGAACATTCCTGTGCTGAATGCCTTACTCAGCTAAACTAATGAGGACAGTAAAGTAATGTTGTATCTTGGGATTTTATTCATCTGAGCTCTACAGTAACCTTTGCCTGGGGAGAAAAAAGAAGAGAGGAGGGAAAGAGGATGAGAAATTCCTTTTGAAGACTTTTTAGTCCTGATTTTATCCACAGTTTTCATCTCCTTTGCAGCGCCAGAAGAAAGCCGAGCCGTTGTTTATCAGTATAGGAAAACAAAATTCTTGTTTTTCACAGCTGCTGGCTTGGTCTCTTCTTTATCCAGCTCTCTGACTCAAACTCTTTTTGAGGTTTCCAATTTCCAGGCATTTGAGATGCCTTTGGTCAGTTTTCAAGCTTACTTTCTGAGAAGCCTGAAAAATGGCCTTTTTTTTTGGACACCAGCAATAATTTTAGATATTTCACCTTCAAAGTATGATTTTTGTTTTTTTTTTTTCTTACAAGATAATATTTCTTCTGTATTAAAACCTGAAATCAAGACTTTTCTTATTCATAGATTTTAACTTTTTATTAATAGATTTTATATTTCTGATATATATATATATATATAAATATATATATGTTTATAAAATGTGTGCTATCCTTGTCACTCATCAAGAGATGGGTTTTTTTTAGCAGTACTAATCAGGACAATGCCTAAGAGCACACATGGTGTGTTTTAAACCCCTATTGAAGACAACTCAAAAAATCAAAGTACAATCCCACATGAGCATGACCTTAGATTCCAACCTGGGGATGGATGTGTTTAAAATGCATTTAAAATGGCAAAGTTGCTGTGGAAGTGGCATAATTAATTTTGAGTAGATAAATTTAAGTGAATGATCACAGAGAAAGTCAGGTCAGAGCTACAGTTTGGCCATAAATTTTGTTCCTGTGGTTGGGCAAGTGCAGTTTTTTTTATGATTAGCTTCTTTTTCACCCTGAGGTGAACTTTCAAGGAACATGTTTACAGAGATAAGCTCTCACCCATCCTGAGGGCATTCACTTGGTTTTTTGATTCTTTCTGAAGAGTGAGAAAATCTTCACCAGGGCTAGTGGTGATTCAGGTGGCCAAAACCACAGGATGGTGGGTGGAAATATGGATTTGAGCACCTGAACCTCGAGGGGAAAATGAAACATTAATTTTCAGAGAGAGACTGAAGCACCATAAAAATGTGGGTCCAGCCTCATGATCACAATCTATTTTAGGAAGGAACTCTTCAGGGATCTCTATCCCTAGAGATCCCATATGTTTTAACTACATTTCAAAGTCTCCCTTCTCTGTTATTTCACCCCCCTAATAAAAAAATAGTTTGAAATGTTTAGGAAGAGACAATTTTTGTTCAGGATGAGAACTTCTGTGTCTCACTGAAGAACAAAAAATAACAAGTAACAAAAATGGAAGGTTAAACATTTTCCCATCAAGTCTGAATTTGCCAAAATCTGAGTTAGGTGGCAGCTGAAATTATAGTTTTGGAAGGCATTTTTACAGGTAGATGACAAAAGTTTTCTGAAGACTTCCTTTTCTTCTGGTTGGGATCTGGGGTTTTGTCTATATAAACTTACACATAATAAATACCATTTTCATGTTCTGAAAAAAAAAAAAAAATCAGACCCAAATTAATGATCATTTTTGAACAGATCCATGTTTCCAACAAAATTTAAGCACAGTTCACTCTCTGAAGAAGGGTTGTGGTACTATTTATACTCAATAGATTCACTGGGCTGATCTGAATGTTTTTTGGCAGCCCATTTACTTAAATATCCTGAGGCTTTCTTTGCTTATGAACTGATAATCAACTCCTAGGCCATGGGAGCCTCAAAGTATTTGTTAGTGTTGGATACATGCAACAAAATGTTGTCCTGTTTTCAGCTGTGTTCAGAAAAGATGTTGTTTTCTGGAAGGGCTGAAGTTAGAGATTTCTTTGTGCACAATCCTTGCCCCCATGGTGGAGTTTATTTCACCCACCTACTTCATTTATGACGTAGATTTGGACTCAAAGTTAGCCACCAATTCTCTCTTTGCAGTCAACAATGAAAAATACATATTTTTGAGGTGGAATATTACTTATTTTAAATTCCCAAGTGGTGGTGATAATTTTTCTTCAGTATCAACTCAAGAATCTAGTTAAGTACATTTTAACATCCTGGGCTGGAGGTCTATGTAATCTGTTCTCATTCTACATTTGATAAATGATTGAATTTTACCCAGTTACTTCTGTCCTAAGACTCATAATTTGTGCCTGAAGGAAATAGAACATGTTTAAAGCTTTGTGGCTAGTACATGCATTTCATTTATAGACTTAAGCTTGTGCCTAAGCTGATAACATTTATTTTGTCTCTGGAACTGTTTTGTCTACAGATATTTACTGAAATTCAGCACAGGATACCCTAAATTTGAGGACTGAGTACAGTTGTATCATATTGAAAATTTGGTTTCATGTTCTCCACATTTCAGAAGAGTGACTTGAGTGAGTACCATATTTATGATTGTTTTAAGAAGTGAATTATCTTTATTCTTTTTGTAGATAAAAATGCCAACCCACCAACCTTGATTTATCATGTTGACTGAATAACAACCCAAAACCAGGTAATTTGTGGCATCCTAATGTGAAAGACAAAGAAGAACTGACTACTCTTGATTCCTTGAGTTTCTTCCATTAGCAAAAAGAATGTGTCTAACATTTACATTCTGTATCCATGTCTTTGACATCAGTCTTGTAAATATTTTTCTACTAGGAATGTGATTTCAGTAGTTGAGGCCTTCTTTTTCTGTCTCAAATTTTAAATAGTAAATGAAATTATTTAACACCATATTAGTTTGGTTTGGAAAAAGGCAACAGGCAGTTTCCTCTTTTGGGGAACCTTGAATTTATTTAAAAATTCATCAATAAAGAACGTTTTGCATCCATGAAGGAGTGAATGGCTTTTGTTGAGATAATTTTTTCTAGTATTTCCCATGGCACTATGTTTTGGATTTGTGATCAAAACAGTGTTGATAGAGTAGGAATTCTTACCAAGTGCTGAATAGTCTCTGCACAGTCTCAAGGACTTCTCTGTTTCTCACACTGGCTTGCCAGCTGGAATCCGGGACTGGGACATTCCATCCATTGTGTCCAAAGAGATGTCCCCCACCACAGGGAGGAAATGAAAATTTCCTGGTTAGAATTCCTTTGAATTTTGCATTTCTCTCGTATCAAGTAGAATTTTATATAATTTTTTATAAAAGCACTAAATCCACATGAACATAGGACATAATGTATTGCACATTCTCCTTTATCACTTGACAGACTCCGTGTTGTCGCACACCAACCAGTATTTTCCCACTAACCAATATTTTCCCTGACCTGTGAAATAAATAAAAAATGGGGATTTTATTTCATTACATTAGTGAAGCAAAACCATTGTGACTTTGAATCAAGCATCCACCAGCAGAGATTCAAATCAGTTCATCACTCTACATCTCTATTTCACAAACATTTTCAGGCTCATTTGGCAAATTCTGATGTTTTCTGACATAAATTCTTCAGGTACTTTGGAACATTAAGCTTTTCTTTTATGATGTATTTCCATTTACACAATTTCCTGTAGAGAAAAAGCTAAAAACACTGACTTCATCCAGAGTGAAAGACTAACATCTATTTTTTTATAAAGCAACAAACATCTGAATGCTGACAGTATGTAAATTGGGGAGAACTTAAAGGTAATGAAAGATGATACCTTACAGTAAGCCATTGCTAGAGAACAAGAAATAATTTGTAGAATACAGCCCATTTTATCATATATTGATTCAATATAAAGACAATTGTAGCTGATAGCACAAATATATACACTGTCAAGAGCAAACAGAGTGCATTTCATTGTTACCCAAAATACAGAACGAGTTAAAATGGATTACAGTATTTTTGCCATTATCATGGAATGGAACTCATTCAGCAGTTGGTACGAAACTTGTTATGGGGTTGTGAGACATTTGGAAAGTTTACAGTAGGAGACATAATGAAGTTAGGAAAAGAGATATTAAGAAAAATTGTGCAGTTTATGCATCAAATTATATTATTAAAAAAACCAAACAAAGAAATCTTGCAAAAGCAGAATTTAAGCCTTCTCTTCAGATAATGTCATTGACTACCTTTCCTTTTTTTCAACAACAAAAAACCTGTGGATTTCTTTTCTGTTTCGTTTTTACCTTAAGTGAAAACTTACAGTAGTTAAACCCAAACATTTTAATTATCTCTTTTAGGAGCTATTTACCTCATTTTTTGTCCTACTAGTAGAATGAGAAATTAGACCTTTGACTGGCAATTGCAGTACTATTTACTGTCTTTTGTGGCACTGAAATTTAACAGCTTATGCAGATCTATTTTAATCACCTCTAGAACTTTCTGGCTGCTGGCCTTGTTCTAAGTGAGCCCACATCCAAACCAGCTGTCCTGCAAGCCATCACTAAATGCCAATAATAATAATAAAGTGCAGGGAAAACTACTTTTTTAGGTTTTTTTGGTAGTTTTATATTTTTTTTATTTTTTGGGGGGGTAGAATAAGGGGCTGCTAGACCTCTGCAATATGGATAATGTACAGCCATTTCTTTCTAACCTCCAATTAGACTCTCACTTGAGTAGCCTAGATATGGTCACTCTGATTGGTAAACACCATATACCCCAGGAATTCATAGTCATGCACCACCTCATAGCCAGCTATTAATTACCTACAGGTTAATTTCATAATTCTAGAAATACATTCCAGCAAAAAAACCTTTACTGTCTCGTGGCAAAATTGCTTTTTGGAAAGGGTGGATGAAGGAAGACCAGAAATGTCATAAAGTCAGCTTTCACTTTACTCTTTATCACGGGATAGTTTGGGCTGGAGAGGACCCCTAAAGGTCTTCACTGCAGTGAGCAGGAACATCTTCTACTAAACCAGGTTATTCTGGGACCTGTCTGACCTGGCCTTGAGAGTTCTCAGGATGGGGCAGACATCATCTCTCTGAGTAGCCTGGGCTACATCAAACATCCTCAGGAAATGCTTTTTCCTTATATCTCATCCAAATCTGCCCCCTTTTCAGCTGAAAACCATCACCCTTTGTCCTATTGTTCAGGGCAGCACTAATAGGTCTGTCTGTCTAGAATAACTTTTTCATAAGCTCTGAAAGGTTGAAATAAAGTCTCCCTGCAGCCTTTTCTCATCCAAACTAAACCACCTCAAGTCTCTCATTTTTTGCTCTTAGGATAAGGGTTGTACCCCCTGATAATTCTGTAGCTCTCCTCCAGACCATTTCCAACAGATGCACATCTCTTCTGGACTGAGGATCCCAGAGCTAAATCCAGGCTGGGTCTCAGGAGTCCAGAACAGAGCAGTCCCAAGATCATATTTAACACTGTCATTATATTGCTTAAAATACCTGGAATAAGCCAATAGAAGTTTTTTTCAGTTTTTCAGCCATAAAGTCAAAATATCCTCTACAGACAGAATGGCTATTATAAAGTTTTGTTTATTTTTTTGTGGAGCAGCAGATCACAGCATTCCTCAAAGATTTAAGATAATTAGCAGCCCATGATCTATAAGAGTCACATCTATTCTTTAATATAATTTGTCGCCTATAGTTATATTATAATTACTGCATGTGTTTTACAATAATGCTTTTTGTCATACATCTGGCCACCAGGGTGCTTTTTAATATTGCCAAGTGCTTAGCTTCTTTTCCTTATATCTGGTATAAATACAGCTCTCTTTAAATTGGCTGCACAGTTATTATCCTGTCATTATGAATAATTCTGCTCTGTAAAGACAAAAAGGATATTGATCCAAAAGGAACATCCCTCTGCAAGTAGGAGCTCTGCTATTTTGAGACTGCACGTTGCTTTCTTGATCTGCCTCATCATTTACTTAAAGAAAAATATCTGTAGCTACATCTGTTTTAATAGATAGAGTTATGGCATGGTCAAACAGTAAAGCCAAATATAGATACAAATGAGGATTTATTCTTCTGATTATTGTGGCTTTAGCAGTCCCTTAGTGCAAGAATTCTCCATTAGATGTGGCAGACAGAATTGACTCACTGCCTTTATTGGCACTGATTGAATTCCTTGGTAAATTGAGGAAATCCTGGTGACACCAATCATGTGTTAACCTTGAGTCCTTAAAAATTGGTTTATTTAAATGGAGGAAGAGACTGAAGATATAAGTCTACCTCAGTATGGAATGTTTAATGATAGGTGAAGTGATTAGGCTTTAGGTTATATATATTTTTGACTTGTTCTGCTGAAGTCCCTAACTTAAAAACATTTTTAATTTTTTTTTCCCTTTTATCCTAGCTTTTAATTTGCACATCCGTATTTTTTTCTGGAATGTTTGCACATGTGCTTTTCTGGGAGATTTCTGCAGACTGATTGCAAATATTTCTCTTCAGCATATACTGTCCTACTGTCTTTTCAAAGCCTTTCCTTCCAGTTCAGCAGTGCAGGAGCCGATTAATTTTAAGCAGCCCCAGGAGCACTTGGTGGTCAGACCATGCATGGTTTTATCTGAGTATGTAATGTGACACAGAACCCATTTTTGCAGATCTGTCCCAGGGGCTTGGCCTTCTGAGGCAGACACTGCTTTGCTATGAAGAGGAGGAGGGTGGGAAGCTGTTCCATGGCAGAACAAGCTTCAGACAGAATATTTCCAGCAGTGGGTAAGAATTAGAGATCATGAATCTGACAACTTACTAGGTTTTGAATTCACATCTTTTGAATGAGGTATTTAGTATTCATTTAGTATTTAATGGAGGTTGTGTGAAAAATTAAGGATATTTGTGATTTTCTGCCTTATTTACCCCCTGGGATAAGTAAGATGTGTACACAAATAAATGTGTACAAAAGCATCAAGGAAAAATGCCCTTTGCCACATTTTATAATAGATTTTACTTATCCATACATATTTTGTGGTCTTCAGGGTTGACAACAGACCTACCTGCTCAGAGTGATTGGTTCACATGGATCAGAAAGAAAAGATTTTGTTTCTAATGAGACATATTAGGATATGGACACAGATATCCATATTTACATTCTATTAGATCTGACCTATATAGTACCACAGAAACTCATTTCTGAACTTATAATAACTTTATCCTGTGACTTATAGCCACCTCTGTTAAGAATAAGTTGCATCTTGTGATGGAACTCACTGACAGAATAATTTCTAAAAGCCTCAGCAATTCAAACAGCCACAAGAAAAAAACCTCCACCATTTGCAGGAAGTAAATAAAGTGTTTAAGAGATTTATCACATATTGTAAAATATATCAACTGCAGATTAAATTTAAAGGAAGAGTCCTAAGACGTGTTCAGCTGCACCTTACTGCAGAGGTTCTGTTTCCATCCTGCAGGTTTGTCCTTGCTCAGTGTCGAGGCTGTGACACATCTGGTGAGCCCAGGGTGGTTTTGGTCACTGGCTGACCTTTCCTTGCAGTCCCAGGTCCTGCTTCACCTCTGCCAGTGCTGAGCTGATGGCATTGGCTTCACAATGTTTGGGTGCCTTTCTGTCAAAGCATGAGAGGGGGAAAATACTTTTTAAGAGCCTCAGCTGCGGGGAAGCAGAGTAGAATAAAATCACTGAAACTATCCTTATTTGTGTAGCAAGAAAGGTTCTGACTGCAGCCAAAAATGTTTTTCTTGGAGCTACTGAAAGCAGAATGACTATTCTTCCTGCTATAGAAGTTAAATTTAGAAATGAAGTTTTAAAAACTTAGAATAAGCATGTGTGCATTTATTATACAGAGTCGAGAGTTAGGCAGCCACCAACCACGTGAAATTTAAAAAAGGCTTCCTCAGATTGGAGAAAAGGCTGAGAGATGACCCCATCAAGGTCTACACTTTCCTTGTGAGGGAAGAGGGAGGGGCAGGTGCTGATCTCTTCTCAGCAAGAGGACACCAGGAAATGGAGTGAAGTGGCACCAGGGGAAGTTCAGGTAGTAGTTCAGGAAAAGTTCTTTATCCTGAGCATGGTCTGCCCCTGGAACTGGGTGGAACAGGGTTTTCAGGAAAGGGATCATGACACCACACCTGTACAAGGTCAAGGGGCATCTGGACAGGGTTTTTTAGTCTTTTGGTTTATCTCTGTGAGGAGCAGGGAGCTGGATTTGATGATCTTATGGGTCCCCCCCAGCTTGAAGTATTGCATAATTCTGTGATTCTTTCAGTTAATTCACTCTCTGTGGCTTTAAGATTTCTACATAGGGACCCTTCTTATCTGTGATGTAAAATGGTTTGCTTATCCAAAAAAATATTTGGAACTTCATAGATAATAAGAGGCTAATAGTTCTCTGGCATTCAGAAAAAAAAAAAGTAATTTAGAAAGATCTCCCCTTTTTTGCTGTGTACAATCTAATTTCATCCCAAAGTGTTCTCAGTGAGTATGCAGGGTGAAATGGAATAATCTTATGGTGCCTGACACACAGCTATGGAGATTTCTTTCCTATATATGATTTTAGCTCAATTATCTTAGTGAAATGGAGAGCACTGGTGCTGGCTTAAGATTTCTTTTCTGCCACTTCCACAGTATATTCCCTTTCTTCTCTTTGAAAGTTCCACCTCTATCATTTGTATGGGTGGGATGTGCCTCACACTTGGACTTTTAAAGATTTTTTTTTTAAGCAGCACACTGCTTAGAGTTGTTAGATACTTTTTCCTCTGTTTCTCCCACAAAAGGTAATTTTAATTAAGAAAAGTGGACAGGTTTATTGGGCTAATTTCACCAGCAGAATATGTGATGTGCCTGTGTTTGCTGGGCTATGTTGTAATGATCCCTCAGCCAGCTCTGGGACTTGGTGTATCTCCATGAGCTGAAAGCATATCAAACACCAACATTAACTTTGCTTCTAGAGGTAGTGCACTCTTAAAAAGACTGATTGTTTTAGCATTGGCTCTGCTCTTGCTACAGTGGTATTGTGTCCTGGAGCTAATTGCACACTTAATTAATTCATGCTTGAACAACAGCTGTGAATAAATATTTATTTTCCTGCTTTACTTGTATAGGTTCATCTGATAGAGATGCTCCATCACTGTGCAGTCCTGTGCAAAAGGCAGAAGAGGATCCATCCACTGACACAGCAGACTGGTGCTAGAGCACCCCAGCACAGACATTTTGGATTTAAATCCCACTTTTAAGGCAGCCAAACTCTCTTTTTCCTTGTGAAGGAACAGCCATATTTTAAAGCCAGTACATGTTAGTCAGAAAAGTCACACAGTTCTCTCTTCAACAGAAATATTTTTTCTTACTCCTTGTGAAAATGGTATATTATGTGCTAGAGGGGCTGCACATCATCCTTCTGAAGGAAAGGGCACTTTTTTTCCACCTTGAAGAAGGAATTTTGATGACCATCTTATAAAAAAAGCTCAAAGATTTTTCTCTCTTCATGAGATTTATGTCCAAATCCCTGAAAGTGTCTCTGGTGCTTAAAACTCTTTTTTTTTTGTGGAGTTCTCACAGGTAAAGTGGCAGATTCCTTCCTCACTCACCGATCCGCTGTGAATCTTGCAGTTACTAGTTCTGGCTAATTTTGCTTTAGGGATTTGTGTCTTCAGTCAAAAGGTGCCTTATCTTGTCTCGACAACACGTATTCCTTTGATGCTCAAATCCCCACTTGTGAATTGAGGCAAGATTTCCAAATACACTTGTAGGACTGCTTCCCCTTGGTCACAGGAAAAAAAAAACCCCTTTGTGCTCCAGACCTTTCATCAAAGAACTGCCTCCACGGGGCTTTGGAGATTCTTGAACGTGCAGGGTTCTTTGTGGATAATTGGACGAGTCTTGCTCGATTGTATTCCAAACAATGCCAGGGAAATAGGCAACAGAGAGGGGTTGTAGGAGCATAAAAAGCTGCATGGAAAAGCTGACTTTCACAGCCAGTACAGCAGGGTGACTTGAAATGGGAAAATTCGCCTTATGAATCAAGGAGATAATGCTGTTATTCATTTAATCCTTCCTGCGTCCTCACGAGGTGCCTCCCCTGGCACGACTTTTATTTCTTTCACACGGTATATTCTTAAAAGTAATTTTGTTCCAAAAAGTATTATTCAGTTTGGTCAGAAGAGGGAAATGCCCAGAATAGATATCAGGTAATACCTTTATGTGGGAAAAGTGCTTTATTTTCACATATCTAAACTAGGAAACAAATTTGTCCTTACTACTTCAGGCAAGTCAAATTGTATCTTTTCTTAACTGCCTGGTCAATTTTAATTTTATATTTTTTTTCTTCTCCCCTAAAAATAGAGCCATATTGCCTTCATATCTGGAAATAAGCTACAAACAGTAGGACATCTCAAAGTTATTTGTGATATTTATTTTCTGCTTTAGAAAAGACAGTTTTTCTAGCAAAATAGATTCAGGGGCTACCTTGAAAATCAGATAATGTATTTCTTGTCAAAAATAATACAGAAAAAAGGGTGGAAAAATGGAATTCATTCATTGAAAGCTATAGTGATTGTGGTTATTCATGTTATAGTTCAGTAAACACCCTGATGGAATAAAATATTCATTTTACTTGTGGACTTGGAATAAACTCCAGAAGATAAAGCGCAGAAATGAACTAAAAAGAAATGTCCTAGATGTTCCTGAATCAGATAGTCTGAATATCTGATAATCAGACTATTGACAGCGAAGAATGCACATCTTTTAAATCAAGATACAATACTCAAGTCAATTTTTTGATATGAAAAGAATAAAATTAGATAACTCTAAGTAATGTATTTAATGAAGTCCTTTATGATTTTAAACCATATTTAGAGATTTTTATCTCAACGCTCCTCATTCAGAAGGATCAAATAAATCAGATTTCATGGCTTGAAACTTTCCACTCTCACAGAAAGCAACACTTATGCAATCCTGCCAGAGTGCAGGAAGTTGATGTCCACCCTCTGGTACACCTTAGTGCCACCAGCTGAGAAAATGCAGTGAAGAAGTGCAACTCAGAAAAACTGGTAAAGAAAGGCTGGTGAAGAGCCAGGATGCTCATCACAAGATGCTCTTGTAAAAGGTTGAGGAACTTTCTGGGAGCTCCAACAAGGACCACCATAATCCTTGGGGAAGGAATGAATTTTTACCCCAGAAGCAAAGGTTTTGGAAGTGGGCCTTACTCAAGAGAAAGTGATTTTCTATGACTGCTATTTTATTTTTATTTTTTTTTATGATTAAACTTTAAAGTTAATTTTCTTTGACTGTTTGAATACAGCTACATTTAAAGTCAAGACGTGAAATCCCTTATTTGCAGGTTTTTCCCAGTGCTCATTATCAGGTCTCAGGGTCAGATTTTGGATTGAGCCAGTGACTTGTAAAAGGTCTTAAAAGCATGAAAGAGGACATAAGATTTTTTTCTACTCAGGGTAAAATAGGATTTTTTTTTAAAATTTTTTTTTTGAAGGAATGAGACCTGTGGGTCTCCTTTGTGATGCAGCGCTGGGAAGGTCAAAGGGCATTGTGTGCTCTTGCTCTGTTATTTCCAACTGGGAAAAAACCCCAGGATTATGGGTTTATGTTATATTATATGTAATATATTGAGAGAAATATATTGAGAGGAAGGGCTGAAAATCCAATCTTCATTCTGTATTTATTTCCAATATGTAAGGACCACAGCACGCAGGCAAAACATTGCTTTTTTTTTTTCTCACGTTGTTGTGCAACCCACATGGCTTTCTCATAATGGAAAAAAAAAAGAAATCCCACTTTATTTTGACACAACCCTGGAAACCCACAAAGCAAAAATTGTTGCTAAATATATGAGGATACAAAAACATTTGCAAAAGTGGGTAGAGAAATAACTTCCTCACCCTCCCAATGTCTTTTCTTGCACCAAAGCTAAAAAAAAAAACATCCTCTGAAGACATTTTGTGAGGGATAAAAGATGCTCTCTGTGTATGAATATTTTTTTATTTTGATAGACAGAAAAATAAACACAATTTCTTTGTTTTCAGGAACATCTTTCCCACGGGGAAGCCCTGCCACCTGCTACCAAGAGATGTGGGAATCATGAGGACACAAGAAAAATCATCTAGAATCCTGCTGCTGCAATGTTAGAAGGAGTTTCTTAGAAAAACAAACATCTCTTGGGAACATCAGGTGTTTGAAAATGGTGAGCTATTACTGCCAAAGTTTTGCCACGAGGCAGCATTACAGAATAAATTATCCAGTATTTTATTGTACAATATAAACAGCCAGTTGAGCATGAGGTGGCGGAAAATGGTATGAGAAGAGCAGCAAAAAGGGAGGAAGAAGATACCTAGAAGCACATAGACTGCATGTGAAAAAATCATGGAGAGAGCTCTTGTCAGGCTCACATTTAGTCAACACACAATAATTTTTAATACAGCAGTTTTTCCTTCCTCCCAGCCTGCTGCTGCCCTTTGCTGCTCAGCTGGTAAAACTGAGCCCTTCTGCCCTGTTTATTTTATGTATTTATTTAATTTTCTTTTTTGAGAATGAAATGGGAAGACATTCAAATGACAAATGCTTTTGTTTGGTTTTTTTTCCTTTTATTTCCACATGGCTGTTTATGCTCCATGTGAATGTAAACTGTTGGCTGAATTGTTGGATTTTATAAGCCAGATATCCTAAAAAAGCATTAAATAAAATATATAATGCTGCCTTTAATAAATTCTCACCTCAAGGGTTTTAAAAAAGGGAAGGAGGGAAGGGAGGGGAGGGGGAAAGAAAGGAAGGAAAGGGAAGGAAAGGGAAGGGAGGGAGGAAGTGTGGAAGGAAAGTAAAAGAGAGAAAGAGAGAGAGAAAGAGAGAGAGAAAGAGAGAGAGAAAGAGAGAGAGAGAGAGAGAGAGAAAGAGAGAAGAGAGAGAAAGAGAGAAAGAGAGAAAGAGAGAGAGAGAGAGAGAAAGAGAGAAAGAGAGAAAGAGAGAAAGAGAGAAAGAAAGAAAGAAAGAAAGAAAGAGAGAAAGAAAGAGAGAAAGAAAGAGAGAAAGAGAGAAAGAGAGAAAGAGAGAAAGAGAGAAAGAGAGAAAGAGAGAAAGAGAGAAAGAGAGAAAGAGAGAAAGAAAGAAAGAAAGAAAGAAAGAAAGAAAGAAAGAAAGAAAGAAAGAAAGAAAGAAAGAAAGAAAGAAAGAAAGAAAGAAAGAAAGAAAGAAAAAGAAATAGAGAGATATGGGTAAAAAAAACAACAACAAAACCAGAGGAAAACAAAACAAGACCCCAAAGCAATCTGCCAGATCAGCAATGCATTGCTCAAGTTGGATTATCCACTATGACAGCTCCTCCCCAGCCAACACTTTACATTGTTATCATAATTTGCTCTGCTGAAGAAGCATGTGGGCACATCCCATTATTTCTTTTGCCTTCTTGGAGTCAGACCCTGCAATCACAGGTGCATTTTTTGGCTGCCTCCTCCTTCTGTGTAAATGAGCACTGGCATCATCCTCCCCCTGGGACCAGCTCACCACCTCTCCCCTGCAAATGTTATGCAGTGCAAAGGACTCCCCTGTAACACATGGCATTTCCCCCTCTGTGCTCAGTCAGTTGTGTGAGCAGCCTCAGGTTGCCTGTAAGTATCCAAATGCACATTTTACAATCATCCTGCAATTAATTGCAGCTTAGCATGCAATTAAAGGTCCTTCTGCCAGGTGCTGTAGCATCAGGGCTGTGCTTCATCAGCCAGGGCATGGGCAAAGCAGCCAGGCTTTGGGAACTCTCTGGCTTCTCACATTCTGCTCACAGCAGTTATTTGCTCTCACTGGCATTTTTCTCCCCACCAGTGAAGGAGAGATCATGGACACACATGTGCCATGACAGGCCTTGCATAATTCATGCAGCCTTCCCACACCTGGGATGCTCCTGGTGCTCCTTCCATCCTCCCCACCAAGTGCACAGCTGCCTGACAAACTCCTCTGCAGGAGCAATGCTGGCTCATCTGGAACTCTGAAAACTCTGAAAGCTCTGGCTGGCTGAACTCTGGAAACTACAGCAGGCAGAGCTAGGTTCCTAACATCACCCTTGTCAGGGATGTGGCTCTGAGATGAAGGATGGGGAAAGGTTTATTTTCAGGGAGACATCTTAGGCAGCCACACCTGTGACCCATAGCCACCTTTGATTCTCAAATCTTCACCTGAACCACAGATCAGGAAATGCCACAGTTGTTCTGGAAAATTCCATTTCTGCATGCAGCAGAGGTGGATTTCTTAAAAAAATACACAGTGGGTGTGTCCTGGCAGGACATGATCAATTTGTTCCTGATCTCACACTGCCTGTGTGTTTCTCACCAGCAGAGCTATAAAAGCTACATCTGCCCAGCATGGGAGAAACCCCTTTTCCAGGAATGCAGTGATGATTTGCCAAACAGAATTGCATTTCTGCACTGGATTGCAGGAGAGAATTTGTGCAGCACACTTTGCAAACTGAGGTGACCACTTTGCCTATCTCAGTGCTGTAACTCTGGCCTAGGCACAGCTTCTGTGTTCCTTTTCTGCTGGAAACTCTAATGAAGCTGCTATGGCTGTATAAACATGCATATACTGTATATGTGAAGTCTGAGGTCTCACTATGTTCTGCAGAAATAAGGATTTCTGGGTTTTAATCTGTTCTACAATACTGTCCTTTGAAGCTGAAGAATAGGCCATTCAGAATAGAGAAAACATCAGATGCATCATGTGCTTAAAAATGGCTGATAACGGATCAATTAAGATGCTGATTGCTAGAAACCAGTCCTAAAAGGGCTATAAACTGTTCTGCCTTCAGAAACTTACGCTGCTCTTATGACGATCAAATCTGGAAATCGTAAAACCAAAACACAGATACTGCCTAACACAGTGGTAATTGTCATATAAATCTAACACTCTTCACAGGAAAACAACATAACTCCACCACTGTTTCTGGAGTAAAAGTTGAAATCTCAAAATCCTGCCAGCAGTTGTTTTGGGTGTTTCAGTCTGCTGTCTGAAAAGGGAGAGAGGCTGTTGATTTTTTTGGCACAGCAACAGTGAATGTGCACTGTTGATTTTGCCTCTCCCAGAGCAATCCACATCTTCATGGTTACATGCAGCAAGACATCCCTGCCAAATAAATATTTCTCATTGGAAACATGGATTTTGAATCTGAAAATATTTAGATTCATGCATATTTATAAATACTCCATGAATTTAAGTGTAGGTAAGGGAACATTGGAGATGAATAGTTTGTTAAAGGTTTTTAAATCCATGTCAACATGTCCATGTCCATGTCCAGCTCAGGAATATCTGAGATTCCTTTATTGGGATCTGAATACAACATTGTCCTCTAAAGCAATGGACCAGTGACTGCTTTTGTCCATGGTTTTGGGGAGGATATACAGTAAACGAATGGCAAAGCATCAGGAAAACCAAAGTTATTTTTTACTGCTACATAAAGAAAAGTGTAGCTGAAGGAGTATAACTGAAAGAGTATAGCTGAGAATTTTTTTAATGCCAAAGAATTTAGAAGTGAGAGTGGTGAACGACCTCTCATGCTTGCAGTGGGCCTGGGGCATATCTGCCACTTCAGGAGCATTCTGCCTCAAATGCTGCTCAGAAACAAGAGCCTGCATTTGTGTATCTGTGATGTGCACACGTTTTTGTGATTTCTCAGGCAGCAAGCTGGCTCTTTTCTCATATAATTAGTGTCTTCTCATATCAGTTAAGCAAGCAGATGGTCACACAGTTTGTACACACAGATTTCCAAATGTTCCTAGTGTTTGACTCTTGTTGATGGCCGCAATCAACAACACCAAACAGAATCCTCTCCAAATTGTGATAAAGCAAAATGACCATTAAGTTGGTTCAAAGGCAGTTATTCATTTAGGTTTAGTGGAGGGTTCATTACAGTCATTATAGTAATACACATGATATTGCACAAACACAAACACTGCGCGGGAGCCGAATTCCGCAGAAATCTGTTCAAAGGAGCAGGAAAAAAACTTCAAGTGAGACATCACACAACAAGACTTACCCAGCTTGGGGGATGTAATTTGCTGGAGTAATAGGGCTGTGGTGACTACCATGTGGCAGCTGCACTTTATAAAGTATTTAACCATGTGGGAACACGCTCAGGGATGCAGGAAATGTCCCAGTCAGGTTTGTCACATGCAAAAATAGTTGTGTTGGAGAAAACCTCTTTCCTGGATAATTTGATCATTTTGCTTTTTGGAGTTTGAGGTATGCTTATTTCTGTTTTCAAGACAGATAACTCCATAGTTTTATCTTGGTTTAATACTGCATATAAAAAGACATTTGATTAGCATGTCAATGCTTTTTAGGTGAATATATATTAAAGCCACTAAATTTTGTCAGATTCATAAAACTCTTAACACCCTAATAAAAAAAAAATGCCCTATGCAGTGTTTTCACTCTAACTCCCAGTACTTCTTTGGAATCAATAAAATTCAAAAGGATTTAAGAACATAAGAAATCTTCCTCTTAGTGACATCCATGGTCTATCTAGCCTAGAATGTCATTTTCAGAAGTTTCAATATTATTTAGTGAGACCATATTAGTTTGGTTTATCTCTTGGTTTTAACAATAACATAATGCAGTAATAAATGCAATAGTGTTTCATATATAGTAGAGGACCCAGAAAAATCTTTAAGGAGAGAAGGTAGAATCACTTTTTCTTTCTCACTAGCTATTAATTCAGTAAAGGTACAAAATTCAGGATTTAAACAAACATGTCTCCCCCACGTGTGTCAGAATGGGGAAGTGATTGCTGGAAGTGCAAAGAAGCAGAAAAAACAGGCAGCAAAATTGTAAGACAGAAAGTCCAGCTGCATTAACTGAGCATCACCTGCAACTGGCAGCAAATTTTATTTCCAGGAATATCTGGTGAACCTGAAGCATCATTATGAACTCCGCACACAGTCGAGGTCATGGTGATACTGAAAAGAAAACAGTAAAAGAAATTCAACGGGGAAAGCAGAGATACTTTCCAACTTCATTCCCAAGAGAATTCCCTTCTCTTTCCCTTATTAAAGCATGGCCAAGGCATTGCTCATTCTGACCTGTACACCTGTGTGGGGCAGAGCCAGCTCTGAACTCAGGCCCTGGGTATGCACACAGGTGCTCTGGGATGTCACTGCTGCTGATGTTCCCTTCTCTCTCTGGATCCCAAATGAAAGGATGAAAGGATGATGCCGGTGCCTTCACAGATGGTAGACATCTCCATATTCAATGATATTCTCATATTCTTTATATTAAACCCCCACTCCCTCTTAAAAAAAAAAAAAAAAAAAAATCCATAAGGGACCACACCTTAAAAGGATAAAAAACAACAGTGATTGACTGCTAAGAACTTTTGAAGTATTTTTTTTGGTTTTGGTTACTGAAGAGAAAGGGCAAATCAGAGTACCAGGTAGAACAATAATTTCCCTAACAGTGAATCACAGAATCATAGAATGTTAAGAGGTTGGAATAGACCTTAAAGATCATCTAGCCCCAAACCCCCTTCTATGGGCAGGGATACCTCTGACTAGACCAAGTTGCTCAAGGCCTTATCCAGCCTGGCTTTGACCACAGCCTCCCTGGCAACATGTGCCAGTGTCTCACCACCCCCACAGTAAAGAATTTCCTCCTAATATCTAATGCAAAATTCCCTTTTTTTTATTTTTACCCATTTCTCCTTTTTCTATCACTACAATTCCTGATGAAGGGTCCCTCTCTGGCTTCCC